GAGATGATAAAATACCCACTGGTGAAATGAAGTTAATCAAACTATCACCAAAAAAGACAGTCTTCCTGCTTTGTCTTCTTTCTCCTCCTTTTTTATTCCTATCAACATCAGAATTACCTTGTAGAGATTTTTCTCTCTGTTCTTTTTTGTGCCTCTTACTCAGGAAAGTAGTATAGCTCTCTGGGTGTCAGTTGTCCCTTTGTAAAGGCATGACATAGATAACGCAAAATATTCTGTCCTCCACTGTCATTCCTGATTTTGAATGCAACAGGAAAACATAAGATGAGGCAAATAAAAAACAAAATGCCAAAGGATTTTACCCAAGCATGGAAGGAATGAATCTTTTCATTATGTGGCAAACAGTCCACAGCCTAACCCATGTGAAGTGGCTGCATTTAAAGGTTTTGTCCTTGGGAGTCTAGGAGAATCTTCTAAGTGCACGCCTCCTTCCTTAGGAGAATATTTATACACTAACACAGCAAACATCACAGAATTCAGAGAGTGCATTGTCTACCCGAAGCCAAGCCTGTGGGCCTCTTGAAGGTCTACTGACTCTAAAATAGGAGACATACCAGAGCCCAGAAGTCTATAAGATACAGTGTTGTCCTGGAGGAACTGAAAGTCTTCACGTGAATGTCAGATAAACATGAGATAACAGGGCCAAGGGAGCGAACATGTGAAGAAAAGATTTTTAGAGGCTCAGCGCTTGTAGAAAAGGCTGCAATTTAGTAAAGTTTTAAATAATCTACTCAACTTTTCAAATTCATGAGCACTTCATGAATACTTTCCAAAAGGTATTAAATGCAGGAATTTTATTTGACCCCAGAAGCATTTTGCCAGGGGTGTTGTGTCTTGCCCATGTTACATGCTGTTTTTGCATGTCTGAGAGGGAAGCACATTTATTTGGCTACAATAGAACAATAGACATCAAGAAAGGAAGCAATAGGCACAGAAAGAAAGTTTCATGGGTTGTGTTTTCATTTCCAACAACCTATGTGAGTTACATAGGCGTTGGCACATGTGGGCTGCTGTGTTTGCATTCACACACCTTAGGGAGAGTCCACATATGGGTCACTTCATAAAACCATGCCCCAACTCATTCCAATTAGAGCTGTGTGAACAAAGAACACTGGGTGGTGATGGAGGCTTTGCTGTGAGGTCTTCTTTGGGTGTCTGTTGGAGGATACGCCTGAGCTCTGAGAATGAAGCCTGATCATTTACCTTATAAAATCTGAATTCTGGAGCTGGCCAGGTGGTTCAGTGGTGGAGGGTATTGAGGGTGCCTGCCGGGCTATCATGAGGACTATTGTTGGATTCTGGCACCCACATAATGGTCCACGTGTCTTGAAAATGTCTTCGACTCCAAATCCAAGAGATCTTAATACCCTCTTCTGGCATCTACACTCATATATGCACACACACACATGCACTCATGTATGCACTCATGCATGCACACACACACACACACCCCAAATAAGTAATTAAATACATGCACTCATATATACATATTTAGGTACCAAGTTGGAAGCGAGAGTGCAGACAGGTGGTGAGGACTCTGAGGCTGTGTGTACATGTGCTGCTTGGCCTTGGCCTGTAGAACAAGGCCTGCCATACCAAATCACTTTCCCCTTTAGTAATACAGAAGTCCTCACTCACTCTGAGGGATTGAGTCAGTTGTGGCCAAAAGAAAGCATATTTTAATCAGATCGTATCATTGAAACAAAGACAGAAGGTCAAAATTGAACCCCAAAATTGAGGGGTTTTCCTTACTATCTACATACTGTTTATTTTTTTTTTCAGTCTGGTATTATCACATTTGGCATATTTATGCATGGCTGGAAATTTGAATGTTAAATTTTGGTGCCTTTTTTTATGAAGTCAAACATCATTTAAGTCATCATTGAACAAGTATACCCAATATTTTGAACCAAACTTCTCTAGGTTAACCTCTTCCACAAAATAGTGATTGATTTTAAAACTGATCAAATACCCAGGTATCTCAATGGATAAATCCTTCTGTCCCCTGTTCAAAGAGAATCATAAGTTCAATTTTAAAACTTGATTTTTAAGAGCTTTTCAAGTAAATATGGTAAATCCTAAAATTTACTTTTCATTCACATGTTATATAACATATGTTACTAGAGATCTCCCCAGGGTAGAGACTCCTAGTGTTCTATTAGTTCTATTAGAATGAGAACACAGGGTTATACTCTCCAAAGTCAACAGAAAGTATTTTTGCAGAAGCATGAGTACTTTAGTCCTTCAAATTAAGTGTAATATTTATCTGAGAAAGAAGTAGGATGTAGTAAAGCCCGAGACAAATATCAGACATCTGACCACCTTTGGAGTCTCCTGATTTCTCTGCCTCCGAGTTTACAGATTTGCTAAAGTGTAGGTCTGAAGATTCCTCATATGTGCAAGATAAAGAGTACTGGATCCAAATGCAGAATGGTTTTTACTAGAGGTCAGAAGTGATGACAGTTGGGAGTAGAGAAAGCCTGAGTTAACAGATACCAAAGCTCAGTTAGGAGCAGTGAGTTCTGATGTTGTTAAACAGAGTGGAGGGCTAATTCCACTATAGTCTACTTTATCAATAGCTAGAAGGGAGGAACTCAAGCTCCAAGCATGAAAAAGCGAGGAGACAGCACCATTCCCTACACTGATTGTTCATTGCATGCTGTAAACACATAAAATATAAGCATATGTAGAGTGCATATCTCACTCTACAAACCTGAACTATTATTGTACATCCAGAAGACATTAACAATTATTTGGTCAAGAGCCCATCAGACATATATCTTTATACTAAAGACATAATGAGTTTGGCTGAGTACTTGGGTTAATAAAATTGCGTACCAATGTGTGGTACCTTCCGACATGCATAAAACTTATAGCATTAACTCTACCACATTGTGTTTTAAGATAATCTATCTTAAAGTTATTTCTTGTTTGTGCTTAGCCATAGTGGAGGAGCTTAATAATGATTAAGTCTATAAAATAGTACCACAAAATATTACAACTGTTGAAAACACAGCTGGTGCACTGCCACAAACATGTACCCCGTTCCTGTTTAGAGATGACAGGGCTGACAACAAAATGGTGTCTCTGAAATACAGTATGAATCTTTTCTATCTCGCTCCAGTTCTGACATAAAGACTTGGAGGGTTGATTTCCTTAAACCCACAGCAGCAGAATTTAAGATCATTGGTACATAGCACTCTTTTACCTCTGTATATGGCACTGAAGTGAACACAAGAAAAAGTATGGTTCGGGGGCTGGAGAGATGGCTCGGCAGTTAAGAGAACTCGCTGCTATTGCAGAGGAGCCAGATTTCATTCCCCGATCCCACATCAGGTGGCTCACAACCAGCATAACCTCAGTCCCAAGGGATCTGGCACCCCCTTCTAGCCCCCATTGCTACCTGAAAGCACACGAAACATACATATGTAGAGACATGCACATATATTTTTTTTTAGAATAAATCTTTTATAAAAAGAAACACAGTTGAGTTTACCCTTTAAATGCTATGTGTGGCGGCAGCTGTCCCACCAGATTTCTCCTGTGTTTCCGCATGCTCTCCCGCCGGCCACTGGGTAGCACTCCTTTTGGGTACTGATGTTTGATGGGCCCCATTTCCAATCTTAAGTTCTGCCACCCTCTCGGTTTCTATTCTAACTAGGTGGCAGAATTAAAGGGGTGAGTGATGATTTTTCTGCTGTGATTAAGGGGACAATACTATTGCAGCTGGAACAAATGGATATAAAATAGCTCAGCCCTATTGGGAGGCTTCCCTGAGCTTCATTTTTCTCCCATTAGACATTAGCATTTAGGCAATTTGTTGCAAAGTGTCAAGACTTCCAGGAGATATCATCATTATACCGCATGGCTATAGATCTGGAGAGCACTGTGCAAGGATAACCTATTAGGCTTGTGAATCAGCACCTGAGCGTCTCCCGTCCTTTGACTGTTCTGAGTAGATTAATAAGCCCTTCTCTTTGTGAATGGTCAGAACCAGAGACCAAACATCACCATACTAATCACTAAATCAATCGTCCCGAGCCCAGTTCTGTATTCTGTTCTGAGCTCACCCCACTGGATTCAATTCACATCAAAAAGAAGAATATTTACTAAGCCCCGGGGGGGCCCTATGGACTTGAAGAGAATCATATGAATAGGGGGGAGGTGGATTCAGACTGTTGCTGGTCTGTTTTGAAGATGATTATATTTATTCCTTTCCAAACTAATCTTTGCAGGTGGAAGTCTGTACAAAAGATGCCTGCGTGAAAAGCAATGCAACCCAAGTCAGCACTGCGGAAGATACTCCAACTGACATTTCAATACCTATAATCCATGATATTACTTCAAGGTACCTAGCTCTTTATCAGTCAATCTAAACAACTTGGATCATAAGAAATGGAAGTAAATATCAAAGAAATCAGTTTAGCCAGGAAACTCTCACTTAAAGGTTGCTGTAAGTATGGGTGCATATCAAATTTTTTATATTTCTCAGGTAATCTACACTGCATACCAAAAACATTAAAACCTATTTTCCTGATTCCATATCTCTTGCCTGGTCATCTATTAACAGCTACTTGAATGTATCTGTAAAGAGAGCCTCTTTATTTAAATGTGTCCTTTAATGAATTCTTTTGTGAAGCAAAATTCAAATTTTAATTAGAATGACCATTTTATAACTGAATCGCTTTGAAAATATTTGATTTATCTATCTCAGATTGCTCTAGAGCTAAAAATGTGTCTCAAATATATAGAGCAAATAGTATTTGGATAGCTGCTAACAGTTTTATCAGATTCTTAATAGAATCCCTTTCTTTACTCTTTCCTTGCTGAGAGATTACCACAGATTGAAAGTGAGTCCTCTGTTAGTAATTCAGATTTGGGACTGGAGACCTGGCTCTATGAATTCAAGGCCAGCCTGGTCTACAAAGCAAGTTTCAACAGAGCAAGGGTTCTCTCAACAAATAAACTAACAATTACAGTAAGTGCCTGCTTTAGTAGCACATATATTAAAATTGTAATGATAGAGAGACTATTAACATGGGCTCTGCACAGGGATAACACTCATAAATACGAATAATCCACTGTTAACAGGAACAAAACTCAGTGTCATTTCCCAGAAATAAGTAAAAAGTAAGGTTACAATTGCTGATCCCTCTATATTGGGTGAGACTAAAGGAGGAAATGTGAACTGTCCCTTGTCAAACTTTGATCGTAACAAGGTGAATCACCTTTTACCTAAATACATGTGCACAGACACACACAGAGTGACTGCATCCATCATGGTGTGTTTCCATTCTGATAGTTTCAGCCAGAACACACTGATATTCCTAGGGCTTGGGGTTTTTTTGCTTTGCCATCAGAACAAAAATAGGTATATTGATGTGGTGGTTTGAATAGGTATCCCTCTTCCCCTATACCCTCATGGGTTTGAATGTGTGGCCTATAGGGAATGGCACTGTTAAGAGGTGTGGTCTTGTTGGAGTAGGTGTGGCCTTGTTGGAGGAAGTTTGTCATTGTGAGGGCAGTCTTTGAGGTCTCATGTGCTCAAGTTTTGCCCACTGTGGGATACAGTTCACTTCCTATTGCCTGCAAGCTATCTCTCCAGCACCATGTCTCTGTGCATGCTGCCTTGCTTCACACCTTGATTTGAACAGCCCTAATTAAATGTTTTCCTTTATGAGAGTTGCTGTGGTCATGGTGTCTCTTCACAGCAATAGAAATGCTAGCAATACAATTAACTGTAGCCTATAGTAATTATAACAATTGGCAAACACAAGCAACTGAATGTTAGCTACTCATGTTGAAAATTTTATCTTCTTGAGTGTGTTTTCATATTAACAAACTATACATTCCTGTCTAACTTGGTATGTTCTAATTAACACAATTCTTTCAGTAGGTTTTTGCCATGTATGCCAGGAATAGGAGCTTACTATGAAAAGGAGGAATGCACATGTTATTTGAGCACTAGAGACTTTATATTTTAATCAAACCTATTTGTGGTTATAATAAAATAGGAAGTGAAATAAATTCCAAAGAGTATATACAAGTTTAGATTTAAAGTTCTGTCCTAGAATGGGGGTGGGAAATTAAATATTTACTATATATTTATAAATTATGTGAAAATAATGTCAATATTGACAATGTGCAAGAAAATATGCAGAGAAGAAATTCCACAATCTAGCCAGGATTATAAGGGATGGAAAGAATCTTCGGTGGGGTGGAGAGAGAGGAAGACACTGAGTTTATTCTTAAAGTCAGAAAATATCTATAGTTCAAGAGATGGGTTTTGCCCTGTTCTTACCTTCTGGCATCTTTATAAATCTGCTGAATGACTAAAGAATAGTACTTTAGATCATACATTTACATTCAGCCAAAAGTAGTCTCTAAGATTTATGAAAAATTGAAGAAATATACCTGGGTCTCCATCATAGATTTTCTTTTATGAATTTACTACAGATCATACCAGAGGGGGAAATGGTTGGAACTAAAGATTGCATAGTCCCAAATGTAAGAAGTTAATATGAGACCATTCAAATGAGCAGTGTACCATAGTAAGAAACAGAGTGAGGAGACACCAGTGCAAGCCAGATTTGAGCACATTTTTGGAAGCAGAACTTATCTGGAAGAAACAAATTATTTATAATGGTTGATAAAGTTATATTGGTTGGAAGACTGAAAGGGTGATATCAGGCAAGCTTAATTTTCTGCAGAGAATCTTTGAATAGAGAGGCATGAGACACCATGGAGAAATGTGTGAAGTGAAGGTCAACAATGAACTTTGCTGAAAATCTACAAAAGATAATGATGAGTATCCTAGGCCCCCTCCCACTGTCTATGTATCCACTTATTTCTCCTCTCCCATGTGGTCCACTCCAACTACCAAGAGATTAATAATTTTTTCTCTAGGGAAGCTTCATGGTGTATACTAAGAATTATGGACTCTAGGCAGAGTAGCAGAGATGCTAGATAAAGGTAAAAATCAATGATTGAGACTGCAACCTGAACACAAACCTTTGGCTACTTGCTCTACTTATTCTCTAACTCAAGCAGTCAATCAGAAATGCCCCCTTATAAGAAACTGCTAATTTTTGTCTGGAAAACAATGAATCACATAAAATACTTCCATATAATAGAATATGGGATCTTCCAAAAGAATTAAATAAAAGTTTGCATGTCAGATGTCCAATGGGAGAGTATGCTGATCTGTCATCTATAAACTTAAAGTGAGCTTTATGTGGGTGGGTGTGCTACTCTTCAAGTTGACAAAAGCACAAAGATAAACAAAAGTATTTGATAGACTCAGAAACTGTTTATGTGCAGAAAAACTTTTACCTAAAGGAGATCTTCTATCAAGGAAGCAAAACCAGGATATAAGAAAAATAAAAAGGGTAACTAATGTGAGAAGAAGGAACTTTGTAGATGTTAGAAGTGTGAACTGAGTTGAAACATTGGGGGAGAGAGTTTGAGACAATGGCTCTGAAAATGCAATAAGACAAAGATGCAAAAAGAAAAGAAACTAGGTGAGCTATGCCCCAAAAAAGATAAAATCGTGAATAACCAGCATCACATTAAAGAGAAGAAATACTCGATCTTGAAACCATAGTCACTGGTGTACAGAATCAATCCACTAGACTGTTGAGTCATGAGATATTGCCAAAGGATTGACAAAGTTGCCCATAGCATCTTCTACTCCGCATTACCATTATGCATTTTGGGGGAATTATTTATGTCTAATAACTTGCAAATGTCTTTTTCTAGTCTATGGCTTGTCTTAAAAGTATGGGGTTTTTGTTCTGTTCTGTTCTGTTCTGAAACTTCTGTCATGAAGTCTTGTAGGACTGACTAGCCTCAAAGTTGCTGTGTAACACAGTGTCTTAGTGTTGTATTGCTGTGAAGAGACACCATACCCATAACAATTTTCTTAAAGGAAAACATTAACTGGGGCTGGCTTACTGTTTCAGAGGTTTAGTCCATTATCAGCGTGGCAGCAGGTGGTTAGACATGCTGATGGAGAAGGAGATGGGAGTTCTTCATCTGATCAGCAGGCAGCAGGAAGAGAGGAAGAGAGAGACACCGGGATTGGCTTGAGCATTTGAAATCCCAAAGCTACCCCCAGTAACACACCTCCTCCACCAAGGCCACACCCACTCCATTAAGGCACACCTCCTAATCCCTCTCAAGTATGCCACTCCCTAATAACCAAGCATTCAAATATATAAGTCTTAGGAGTCCATTCCTATTCAAACCACCTCACCTACAAAGACCTTGAACTCCCAATGCTCCTGTCTCAGGCTCCCAAGTGCTGTGACTGTAGGTGTGAGTCACCATGCCACGCCAGGTAGCTTATCTTCTCAGCTCACTTAACTGTGTCTTTTATAGAACAAAAGACTTAAGTTTCAGCAGAGTTGGTTTTACCTTTTATTTCTTGTTTGGCTTGCACATGCAGTGTTTAACACAAGAACTCTACCTTACCTTAACTTAGGAGATGTTTCTCTGCTTCAGAGTGAATTCAAGGCCATCTTAGGCTGTCTGAGATCTTGGTTGAAGGTGGGAAAGCAAAAAAAAAAAAAAAAAAAAAAAAAAAAAAAACACCTAAAATAAATATTATATTCCTCCTATCATTCTTCTCCTACAAGGTTTAGACAAACGTTGATATTTTGAATTTTGAATTTACATCTGTGCTAATTAGACTGATGTGTGGGACAAGTTAGAGTTATTTTTATTTCTTGTTGTTTTCTAAAAAGTGTTTTGTAGTTCCAACACAATTTATTACAATGACTATTTTCTTTCTACTGAAAACTTTCAAATGCTGTGAAAAATGAACATAAACACATTTTATAGGACACTGTTTAATTTTCTGTTGAATTTGTCAATATGTCTGTCAGGTCATCAGCATCATAAAATGCTGAGCGTTACAAATGCATAGTGGCCTCTGAAAGCATACAGCCTGACCCTTCTGTTGGAGCTCTTTAATACTTGTTTCGGCTTTTCTTTTACTCGACTTTTCCACGTAGATTTTGGAAACAGTCTATTAATATCTACAAAAATCTCTCTGTGGTTTTAATTAGGACTGCATTGACTCTGTGAGTCAATTGGGAGAGAATTTGTGTCTCAATTGTATCTAATCTTTCAAGTATTAGGCACAATTTACCTCATCAACATTTGACAGAGCTCAATACACAGTAGTGAAGGTATTTCATTAGATTTGTACCTAATTGTTTTCTTTTAGAAATGCAATTATTAATGTTTCTTTAAGTAAGTTAAAATTTAATTGTTTCTTATTGGCATGTAGAAAGACCATTGATTTTGATATAATAAAACTCTGTTCAGTAACCTTGCTAAACTTATTGTGAGTCTTGGGCACTTTGTTGTAGATTGCTGAATTCTACAATGGATCTACAAAAAATGAATGTAAGGACACGTCCGTTCCTTTACCATTAGCGAGGATGTTTGTCACCTGTGAAGTTTAGAGAGGAAAACTTTGATTGGGCTGAAGAATTATCTTTTATTTTGCATTTCCTGAGAGTTATTTTTTATAAATATGTATAGTATTATGTCACATAGTTCCCTGTGTTTTGCATTTTTGGGTGATTAATTATGTATTGATTTCAAAAGCCATGGGCCAGTCTGTGTTCTGTGAGGAAGCCCTGGAAGGTTGCCATGTGGTCCCCTCTTTACATGTGGCTGGGAGCTACTCGCTGCAATCTGTGGATGTTTCCAGCTGTGCTCCTAGAATTGGGTTCAGTTGTACCTTTTCTTCTAGCAGTGCCTTTACCTTGTTTGGCTGTCATGCTCATTCTGTCCCCCACAGAAAGGGTTGGGAGCTACTTCTCTCTCTACTTTGTGGAGAAATCTTATAAAACATTATTTTATGTATTTCTTAAACACTGTTGGAATTCACCAATGAAACCCACTTTTGTCTAGAGTTTACCTTGAAGAAAAACCTTTAACTTGGAATGCAATTTTCTTAATAATTTGGGGTATTCTGGATGTTTCTTTCCAACTGAGCTTTTTTATCTTAGCCTTGAAGATTGACCAAAGAGTTGGTCAATCTCAAACATTTGTCAGTTTGATGAGCAGATTGCTGCT